AATACACTACGACCAAATAGGATTCATACCAGATATGCAAGGATGGTTCAATATTAGAAAATCAATCAATGTAATCTACTACATAAATAAAAGGAAAGAATCACATGAACATCTCAATTGACGCAGAAAAGGCTTTTGACAAAGTCCAACACCCATTCCTGATAAAAACTCTCAATAAAATAGATATAGAAGGGAAATTTCTCAACATAATAAAGGACATCTATGCAAAACTGACAGCTAACATCATTCTTAACGGAGAGAGGCTGGAAAACATTCCTCTTGAGAACAGGAACAAGACAAGGATGCCCTTTATCTTCACTCCTATTTAACATTGTGCTGGAAGTCCTAGCTACAGCAATAAGGCAAGAAAAAAAATAAAGGGCACCAAAATTTGTAACGAAGAAGTTAAACTGTCCCTGTTTGTGGATGATGTGATAGTATACATAGAAAACCCTAAAGACTCCACGAGAAAAATACTGAAACTAATAGAAAAATTCAGCAGAGTAGCAGGATACAACATACAGTAATCAGTTGGACTCCTATACACCAATAAAGGAAACGATGAAAAGGAAATCGGGAAAGCAATACCATATATAATAGCCCTTAAAAAAATAAAATACTTAGGAATAAATCTAACCAGGGATGTAAAAGACCTATACAAAGAAAACCACAAAATACTACTGCAGGAAACACAAAGGGATCTACATAAATGGAAAAACACATCATGCTCATGGATAGGTAGAATCAACATTGTGAAAATGACAATTCTACCCAAATCAATTTACAAATACAATGCAATCCCGATTGAAATACCAACAACATTCTTTAAAGAGATGGAAAAACTAATCATTAACTTTATACGGAAAGGGAAGAAGCCCCGGGCAAGTAAAACTCTACTGAAGACAAAGAAGAAAGTAGGAGGACTCACACTACCTGACCTCAGAACCTACTATACAGCTACAATAGTCAAAACAGCCTGCTACTGGTACAATGACAGACACATTGACCAATGGAACAGAATTGAGAACTCAGATATAAATCCATCCACCTATGGTCACCTGATCTTCGACAAGGGCCCAAAGTCCACCAAATGTGGAAGAGAGTCTTTTTAACAAATGGTGCTGGCAAAACTGGATGTCCATCTGCAAAAAAAATGAAACAGGACCCATACCTCACACCATATACAAAAACTACTTCAAAATGGATCAAAGACCTAAATATAAAGCCAAAAACTGTAAAGTTCATAGAAGAAAAAATAGGATCCACGCTAGAAGCCCTAATGCACGGCATTAACAGGATACAAACTATAACCAACAACATACAAACGCCAGAAGATAAGCTAGCTTACTGGGATTTTCTAGAAGTTAAACACTTATGCTCATCAAAAGACTTCACCAAAAGAGTAAAAAGAGAACCTACAGACTAAGAAAAATTTTTGGACATTACAAGTCAGACAAAGCTCTAATCTCTAAAATCCACAAGAAAATCCAACACCTCTACAACAAAAAGACAAATAATCCAATTAAAAAATGGGCAAAGGAAATGAACAGACACTTTACCAAAAAAGACATTCAAGCAGCCCACAGACACATGAGGAAATGCTTGCGATCACTAGCCATTAGAGAAATGCAAATTAAAACCGCAATGAGATACCATCTCACCCCGGAATTACTGGCACGAATCAAAACACTTGGAATAAGAAATGCTGGAGAGGCTGCTGGGAGATTGGAACTCTTAGGCATTGCTGGTGGGAATGCAAAATGTTACAACAATTTTGGAAAATCATATGGCACTTCCTTAGAAAGCTAGAAATAAAAATACCATACCATCTAGCTAGGAATACATCCTAGAGAAGTAAGAGCTGTCACACGAATAGACATATGCATACCCATATTCATTGCAGCACTGTTCACAATAGCAAAAAGATGGAAACAATCTAGATGCCCATCAACAGATGAATGG